AATGAATACCTAGTCAGTAGCACAGCTCAACTTAATGCCCAGTAAATCCTAAATCAAAACCCAAATCAATGACACACTATAATTCAACTGGGTAGTTCCACTCAATAGTCACTGCAGTCAGTAGCCTGACACTACTATTTATACACCTGGCAGAAAACACATTCATAAGTCCAGAGTGTCACACTTGAATATTGGTAGTTAGTCATTTTCTTCCTATATGACACAATTATAATACAAATACACTTTTTCTTTTATTGTATCTTTTAATCTTTAATTCTTAACATCTTCTCTTATTTATGAAAAAAAAATATGGTGATTTTTTTTTTTTTTTTTCTAATTTTATTTTTTATTCTTCCAATTTTTTACCTACTTTTCTTAACCTGTTCACCTTTGAATATTCAATGCAACAAAGTATCTTTTACTCAATGCCAAAATGTAGGAACTGAGTCAAGTGCATTGGCATAGCTATTCATAAAGCCTGAAATAAGACTGAAATGGGTGTATATGTGTTTAGAGGCAGCATGACACAAGATGCATGTGTGGAAATAAATGTGTTTGTTTTTTGGGTTTTTTTTTAAGCCAGTCTATTTTCCTATGTTGTTTTATCAGTACAGTACTTAACACAGTAACTTCATTTTTCAAGATTGGGTGTTCACTGCGTAACCCAATTCTTATCTAACCCCAAGTTTCATAATCTCGATCTCAAAAACCAACATAGGCAGATTTTCATAGCAACAATTGATCAACTTAGTCACTGTTGCTAGTCAAATGATGTTGATCTGTAAATCAAAACTAGTTAATCTTTCTCTTGCTAATACTTGTTCGCCGTTGAATTTAGGAAACTGAATGGATTATGCATGAAATTCACATTGTCATATTTGACAGGAATCCTGTTTGTATTTTAATTCAAAATCTTATACTGAGAGCTGATTTGTTTTTGCTAGCAGTATATAGTTTACAACTAAATCACTTCTGTAGACTTTCTGCTCATATCAGAGTGTGTTGGTATTTAAATTCTTGAATCTTGGAAGGCTGGCAGGTACTACTATTGTTCTAATATAGCTTTCTTCTCTGATACGCTGACTTTTATGCACAGTACTAGATTGGCAGTTAGGTCTCATCATTTTGCACTTGAAATTGCTAGTTGTAGCTGTAAGTTCTGCACTAATAGTTTCTTGTTTCTCTTCTTGCTTGTGGAATGCTCTTCTGCATTTTTTTTTTTTTTTTTTGTCAGCAATGATCTTCAAAAATTTAAATGCAATTTTAAATTGTCTCCTTGAATCCAGTTTTCTTTTTGTCTCTTTCTCCTCAATAATGTTGTCTCAATTTCTTTCACTCTCCTTAACCCTTTGCATCTTAGTGGCTTTATCACCTTACTTGGAGTGAAAAGATTAAAATAAATGAACAATTCAGTACAATTTTGGATAATATTTTTATTGTATAGTAATGCATGTTCAATAAGAGATGCACTAGTAATTTATGCATCTTATAGGACTATCTAAGTAAAAAAATTTACCCCTTGATATCTTAAAACATAGGTTACAATGACTCACTTGTGACCTGAGGATAGTGTCATAGAAAAATACCTAAAGTTGTCTTTCTCAGTTGAGAAAGAGAGGCAGGCTAAGAACTATTTGCTAGAAGATTGATGACAAAACAGAAAGGGAAGGATCTTCAGTGGAGGGGGTTCATTAGGGCCTCATACCTCTGTTGAGATGAAGACCTAACTCTCTTCTTAAATTCTGACTAAATAACCAAACACCAGCATTTTTTTTTTTAAGCTGAAAACTTTTAAGCACCCAATTTGTAAAATATATTTATGCATACACTTTGATTTGAATGAATAAATGTGGCTTAATAACTTGAAATGAGAAAACCTAAAAAAGGATTTAAAAAAAATCCCAGTCATATTCAACACCAATACTAAGTAATAAGTTATTCTCAGCAAAATAACAAATATAAAACAAAGCAGTTGCTAATAATGAGAATTTCTGAAGAATATAGATAAACATTGACCAAGAAATTTTTTTTTCCTTATTATGGGAAATTTATAGCAAATTGTGAATCAATACACAACTATAAGGTTGGATCAATAAATATGTACCCTGCTCATGGCTGCATTTCTCTCTATTTATATAGGGATAAATACAACTCTGCTTGAGTCCCTTCCTCACTGAAATGTAGCTTCCCTCTTCCTTTTCTATAAATATTTTCCTGGTAATTGTTCTGATAAGATTTCCTCTTTGGTACCATGACTTTACAAATTTAAGTGCAGTACTAGATTGGTAGCTAGGTCTCATCATGATTCATCCTTTGGTTCTATGCTAACAGTTTCTTCCCTTGTATTTCTTGCTTGTGGAACTCTCTTTTCATTTTCAAAAATTTAAATTCAATGTCAGTCGTTATCTTTTGCCTTAATTCCTGTTCTTTTCTTAATGTTTTCTTTTTCTCATATTCTTTCACACTCAGTAACTCCCTTGTGTCTTAGTGGCTTTATTGCCTTGCTTCGAAAAGTGATTTAAAAAAAAACTATGGAATGAACATATATATTGGAGGTAATATGTAATGTACCACAATACTTATATGTCACATGTAATAGTATTTTTTTTTTTTTTTTTTTTGGTCATTCTTTGTTCTAGTATAGTTTTATCAATACAGTAATTATCAAATTGTCTAAATTTGGACCTGAAATGTTCACTGTATAATATGGGATTAATATTCATGAGTGCATTGTTGAAAAATAAAACTATTTTATAAATCATTAGGCCATGAATGAGATTTTCTTCTTTTTGCTTTATATGGTGTAGCTGTAAGTTTTCTGATAAGTATACTGAGTCCTCCCCTCCAACTTATTAAAATTCAAAGATTCAATTTACTTATAGTATACACTTGGTTTCTCACAAAACTATTATACAATGTTGGTTGCTCACCTTTGTAAATTTGCATAATCGAGGAAAGAAGTGAGTTGTTTCTAATCAATAATACTTGTAAATTTGCATTTCTATAGAGTTGTCACTCGGGAATAATAGAAAAGCTGTTACTGAGTTGAATACAAAAGAAAGAAAAAAATCAATATGTTGTGAGATTTTATTATGTAAGTCAATTTCTCACAAGAGTCAGTAAAATTTTCAGCATATATTTATATGAGCAATATATGGTGTGACTTTCAGCATATAATATTCATATTAAAAAAATATTGATATTAATGAGAAAATGCAAGAAGAAATATCTTTTTTTTTTATTTATAAATAAATTCAGAAACGATACAGACTATATTAAAACAATATCCCATATAAATATTTTATTAACACAATATTTCATATCTGAATAAATTATTATTTTACACATTACTGTAAGCTCCTTGACATCGTATAACCTTTGTCAACCCTTTATTCATTGATTTTGTCAGCTTTTCTACTCTTCCAACTTTAACATTATTTAAACCAGTTTTTATCACTTCACAGATGTTGTTGTTTGCTTGAATATTGTTTTACATCTCTTTTAATGATAAATCATAAGTTTTCTAATGGATTACCTGGAGAACCTGGGAGTCATTTATTAATTAATGTGCTGTCTTTAAAACCTTTTTGAGCAAGTTGGGCAGAAGTTTGCTTTTTAGAATGTGAAAAAGAATTATATTTTAAGAATCTACTCTAGATTAAAGCTCATTGGTTATGATTTGTATTAATCAAAAAAAATGTCTTATCCAAGCACTTAGAATAATTCTCTGCGTTTTTCTTGATAGCTCTGAAGGAACTTGTAATTTCACTGCCTGCAATCAGTCAGTTAAGGGCCACATGTGATACGCTCTTTCGATACATGACTGACAAGACAGAAGATTCCCCCACCCCACCCCCACTACCATTTCTTTCTGCAGTAGACTGGTTGCCAACCAAGGCTAAAGAACCTTGTCTGTCCTGCTATTCAGTTCATAGCTGGGGGAGGAGAGATGGATTCATACCTTTCCCAAGGTTATTTTTGTGTTAGTAAACATAACAAACTTGATTGGGATTTGAACTCAGCTCTCTGAGTTCTCATTCCAAGCCAATATCCATTACACCACAACACATATCCAGCCACCTACTCCATCTGTCCTGTTGTCTTCTAAGTCATGTTGTTTAACTATTTATATGAAGAACACAATTACTATCCTAGCCATCAGGTTCAGCCAATGTAGCTCTGCATTCGTCATTAAAAATTACTATTGAGAAATCAGTTTTCATGTACTTCTTCATCTTACTTTAATGTTTCTCTGTTGTGTTTACTTAAACGTGGTAGTTTAGTTGCTTTCATCTGTTGAGACCATGGTTTCTTCAAAAATCAATTTTTGTAGTATTCTTAAATCAAATTTTTTGGAAATAATGTTTTTAATTTTTTTGTTATAATTCCCTGATCTTTGTTAAATATTTTTGTAACTCCCAATATCATGTTTCCATTGCTCAATAACTTTAGAATGTCTGGTTTCTCTTTTGAGCTTATATATATATATATATATATATATATATGAGAGAGAGAGATAATCTTTTGACCCATGTCTGAAATTAAAAAAAAATAATTCTGTATTATAAGCTGAAATTCATATGGTGTATTTATTTTATAAATATCCTAAATACTGATCCACATACCTCATGGTATATAGTAAACTGTAGAACATAAACACGACACAAGTTGTCTTTCCACTTCTTACATTAATAGAATAACAACCTGAATCAGAATTTCAATAAAAGACAAAAAATAAGATGAAAGAAATGCAAGTGAAAAATTCATAACAAACAAAGCTTCATTCAAGAATGTTTGACTCACTTTTTTTTATGGCTTGTCAACCCTTTGCAGGTCATTTAAAGCCAGAAAATATTTTTAGATTCTAAGGATTTTTTTAAAGATACAAGTCTTACTAATTAACCCATAGCTGGGGGAAAAATAGGTAAATTCATACCTTTCCAAATGGTATTTGTGTACAAGTGAATGTAATGAACCCAACTGAAATTGGAACATCCAAGCTTACAGCACCTGGTATTCCCAAGTGGTCACCTATTTAGGTACTAACCAGGCTTGATGTTGCTCAACTTTGGTGATAGTACAAGAACCAGTGTTTCAACATGATATGGCCATAAGCACTTCATCCAAGAAATTCAAATAATATTACTATTAATACTACTAGTGTAGGTAAAGAAAGAAAGATGGCACTGTATCAGTTGTTTCTGCATAAAATAAGTTGTCTGGTTAGACTTGAGTTTATGAAACCAGTTTGGTCTTTGTGGATTCCTGAAGATATGAAGAAGATTAATCTTAGAGGAATTGGTTTTTTGTTTTTGTTTTTCAAGTAGCACCATTTATTTTAAATAACATTTTGGAAGTCATACTAAAATGTAAGTTGAAAGAAATATTAGTTTCTTTATTTACCTTTGGAACTCTTCCATTTCTTGTTTCTCTGTCACCTATGATATTCCAAAAATTTAAATGCAAGGTCAATCACCATCTTCTGTTTTCCTGAATCCTGGGCTTACAACCATATCCCATTGAAATACTGGTAAACAATGAGCCTGGTCAGTACCTAGATGGGTGACTACTTGGCAGTACCTAGATGGGTGACTACTTGGCAGTACCTAGATGGGTGACTACTTGGCAGTACCTAGATGGGTGACTACTTGGCAGTACCTAGATGGGTGACTACTTGGCAGTACCTAGATGGGTGACTACTTGGCAGTACCAATTGCTGTAAGCTTGGATGTGTGGGTGGTGTAAATCAGAGAGGTTTGTTATATTCACTTACAGTATGAATCCACCTCTTCTCCACCCCCAACAGCTATGGGTTAATTAGTAGGATTTATATTAGTAAATTATTATCTCAAAAATATTCTTACAATCTAAAAATATTTTCTGATTTTAAATAAAAATGCAAAAGGTTGAAGCCATAAAAAATAAAATAGTCCATCAACCAATCCTGAACCCTGTCCTTTCTACTCACTAAAGTCTTCTCTTTCACTCTCAGTAACTCAGTTTTTTTAGTGGCATTATTGCCTTGCTTGGGGTGAAATGATTAAAAAATGAGTAATTCCCTTTTAAACTTCCATTTGTGAAATTAGCCTTTGTTATTGTACACGTAAGAGTCAGAGTTTATGCACATGGATTAAATATACAAAAACAATTAGTATTTAGCGTTAAATTTTAAAAAAAAAAGGAAATTCACTGCATTGTCTTCTTAGCTGTTTGATTTAATCTCCAAGATAATTTTTAATCTGTTCAAATCCACTTAAAAAAAAATTAATTGAATTGAATACTAAGTCTATAAGTTTTTTTTTTTTTTTGTTTTTTGTTTTTTTTTTAAATCATTTCTTTAAAGCTGATAGATTTAAGCCATTTATTGAATGTGCAAATACATACAGATGTGCTGGTGACCGCTTCCTGCTGCACTGGTTACCTGAGCAAACAATAATATTAAAACACTTCAAGTTGCTCTTAAATCCACTACTTGACATTTGAAAAAGACAAAAAACCCCAAAAAACAAATAAATACAACACTTCAAAATGGCAATAGCAGAGGTTTTTATTGTTTTCCTTGCCTTGGTTCTCTTATATAAAGTAATTCATTTATTATTTCCTTCAGTTTTGACTTTCAGTTTTAATAGTTTCTATCAAAAAATGAAATTCAGATTATTATATCAATACCTTCAACATATTCACCTATAAGCTGGCATAAGTAATATATTGAAAAATTTAAACACGCACTCACACACATATATATATATATATATTTATTGTATATCAGATCCCGTGGGCCTTCCCTTTGTAAACAGAGGGAATGCTTACTGGGTCTGAATGTTATTGGACTCTAGTTTCTTAAAATCCAATTTATTTATTTATTTTTTTTTGTTCCATTCGTTAATTTAATTTACACACTTTTATAAATTTTCTATTCCCCCCCAAAAAATAAACTTGATAAGTCCTGGGATGACACTGGTTGTGTGTGTTTTTTTTTTTTTTTTTTTTTTTAGCTTTTTGTTTTAAAAATGCCTCATAAAATTGGTCTTTTCTTAGCTATTATTAAATTCTGTACCACAAAAAAACTTATTTAAATATATATATATATATATATATATATATATATATATATATATATATATATATGTGTGTGTGTGTATCAAGGCAGAAATTCTTCTTTCATGCACATTTCATTGAATACGACAGACAAGGTGCATTGATTTAGTCTTTTATACAATTTCTCATGTGATCTAATAATTTTTTTCTTTTTGGATGATAAATTATATAAAAACTGTCCGAATGTTCTTTTTATCCAAGCACTTTTGGCTATACATTTATCCATTTTCAAGGATGAAATATTTTAACTGTTGAATAAAAATAGTTTATTGCATGTATGTATTTATATAATGTTTTCATTTTTCAAAACACGGTCAAGATATTGTGTCCATGTTCATAGTTGATATTATTAAGTGTTGTTTTTATTAATAAGGCTTCCATTATTTTTAGCCTTTTATTGCATGTAGCTGATGCTATTATATTAGTGTTGTCAACAAGTATGTTATGAATAGTAAGTCTCCATGAATATTTAAATGAGATCTAATATATATCTCTAAGCAACTTTATCAAAGCAAATTGATAATGTCCCTCAGAGGATCAAACGTATCGGCTAAGATAAGTTTTTCTTTTGTCTTTATTCATATTATCTTTATACAGATATGCTCTATCTGATATTTCTATATAGAATTGTGTATTTGGGCAGCAGTCTTTCTTTTATAAATGTTTCATTCATAGACAAAGTACTGCAATTAAGCATTTTTATTCAATTTTTTCTGGCATTTGTATAAGGGTTTTCTTTTCTGGACATAAAGTGTATAAAAACTACCCAAATGTTAGATATATCCGAGCACTTTTGGCTATTGTATTAGTCATTATCAAGGATGATTTTTATTCTTAACAGAATATGTAGATGTTTATATGTGTATCTATAGCGATGGGAATTTTTTTTTCTCCAAACACTGTTGTGGCCGTGTTCATCCTTAATAATGGCTAATAGAATAGCCTAAAGCACTCATATACAGAACATTTGGATAGTTTTTACACATTTTATGTCCAGAAAAGAAAACACTTACACAAATGCAAGTAAAATTAAATAAAAAACTTAATCACGGTACCTTTTCAGTTGTCTTTAATGTGTGTGTGTGTGTGTGATAGAATTATATATATATATATATATATATATAAAGAGTGTGTGTGTGTGTGTATATATATATATATATATATATATATATACACACACACACACACACATACACACTCTATCTAGGACTAAAGTGATGTTTACGCTGATGTAACTACACATGAAGGAGAGTTGGGTGTTAAACTTTTAAATTAAAATTTTTCTTTTTTAATATGTGTTTTGATATATAGTCTAGCCAATTTCATTTAGTTATTTTATTTATATATATATATATATATATATATATATATATATCACTTTTATCATTAATAACCTTAAAAGTCACCCTATCAGGTAGCATTTAAGCTAGCTCCTGTGTAGAGCTTTTGATTGGGCCTTCATCACAATAGGTAGGGAGTAATCGATGCAATAGGCAACAATAAACTCCAGAAGAACTCAAAATTGATCGCTGCATTTAAGTATTGCATTAAGATTTAAGCTTAACTTTTAAAAAGTCCAACAATAATTCTTCTGCTGCCACTTAATTTAAAGACAGTTTGATGTATGTAGGTCCTTTCCGTAAAAACAATTATTTTTATTTCATGGGTGACTTTGGCAGGATTTCACAATTAATTTTGATTATTCCCAAATTTATTTCCAAGTTATAAAAATTGTTATTGTACAAAAAAATTTGTTGCAAAATTTCACGTCAAAAAAAAAAATTCACTGAATACAATCACAGTAATTGGTAATATAAATTTTCAGGATTGCCCGTCCAGATCGGATCTGGAATGTTTTAAATTTGCTCATGAAATCGGCCTGATTTCAAAATGGTATGATATTTTGGGTTATGGCCTCTCAGAATAAAGTTGAAAACATGTGACACAGTAACATTTGTATTTATTATATAGATTATCCCACATTTCAACATGAGCACTTAAAAAAAAAAAAAGAAGGTAAACTGACATATCTTTCAACACAGGAGAGAGCATTCTAAAATGCATATAAAATATTTAAAAATAACATTTTAAAATATATTGAATTTATTTTTTCTTTTTTTTCTTTCTAATTTGCAAATAACTTTTCACAGCTATAATTGTTGTGGGTGTAAAATTTTTATTAGGTTCAAGCTTTCGACTCACATGAGTCATCATCAGGGGTGTGAGAAAGTGAAGGGAAGAAAAACTTGTTTGTAAGAACAATTGCTGCCACAATATACCAAATTTAAGATATTAAAAATGCACGTTATATTTATATATATATATATATATATATATATATACACACACACACACACACACACACACACTCTCAATTCTGGTGTTAAGCTCTGTGAACATGTTCTACACATGACATCACTTACACAATACATATTTAAATTTGAAATGTAACGTTCCAAAAAAAGAGAAAAAAATGCCAGGATGTAGGTAACAAACCTTTTGTCTATGATATTTACATTTAGTTCTTGAGTATGATACCAACAGTTAAAAGTACTTGAACAAAATCATGAATTTTTATGTAATTTCTATTTTTATCCATTAGAACAACACAATATAAAACTAGACAGATAGACAGACATTGTTGATTAAATTGCCTAAGAAGACTTATTTAAGTGTGCATGTGTTGAAAACAAATTGAGGAAAGTAAAAAATTTGAAGTTGAATAAGTCAAAATTAACTGTTAACAAATTGCCACCAGGTGTGAGAAGTTTGGGACTTACTACAAGCCAAATGCATGAGTCATTTTATTCATGTTTATCTTTACACACTTCACTTATCTTTTTGTATACAAATTGACAGTTAGCATTTTGCTCATTCAAACTACAAACAGATAACGCATATGTGTGTGGTATACTCCCCTAGATGTAATATTGGGTCATATTTTTACTATGGATTTTAAAGTCTACAAGATATTCCAATATTCCTTTACTGTAACTTAAAGTTGCTTAAAACAAAT